GTGTCCATTCTCCTTGAAGACAGGTTTACTTCTGACGCCAGTTGTAAAGTAGTAACTCGGCAGGAGACGACTTCACGGGTAGCACACTCTTTATTTTCACCAACTTGTAGTTACACGGATGACTAACACCCTACTTCGTTACACGGGTGACTAACACCCCACTTAGCTACTCGGGTGACTAACACCCACTTAGCTACACGGGTGACTAACACCCACTCAGCTACACGGGTGACTAACACCCACTCAGCTACACGGGTGACCAACACCCACTCAGCTACACGGGTGACCAACACCCACTCAGCTACACGGGTGACCAACACCCTCCTTAGCTACTCGGGTGACTGACACCCACTCAGCTATACTGACACGGGCTCTTACGCCCCGTAGCCTTCCGGGACACACCCAGCCGGGGTGCCCGTCTCGGCTCTGGGTACCACCGTCCCAACCCACACGGGCGTCGGACTACGGTCCCCCAGTCTCGGCTCCGAGCCACACAGGGCCCCGGTCCTCACAAGGACGGCGGGACTAGGGGTCTCGGGCCACTACCTCCTCCACCCCGTCTTCGGTCTTCAACTGGTTAACACTGACCACGAGTGCTCTCGCGCGTCTCCCTTTATACCCCTCCTGCGGACGTCGCTGAGAGCACCCACTTATCTGACCAATCACTGCGCACTCGCTACGATCCTCTTTTCCCAGCTTGTGTCAGCGCGCCTTACCACCGGCGCGCGCGTCCATACCACGCCCACATCGCGTGCCCAACCCCGCGCCCCGTGATCCATCACTGTCAGCGCACGTCAATACCACCACTACAAGTGCGTGCGTGTTTGGGTTTTTACTCTGATGATCGTTGCTTTAGTGACTGTAAGGGTTTGGAATTGGTTCCCACGCACGCGTTTCTATCTGTGTGCACGTGACAGAGTTTAGCGGATCAACAGCGAATTAATAAATAAATAACAACGCCAACTTCTGCAGCGCCGTAGCATTGCGAGCCGTTCTCAAATCACCGAAATGTTTTGGCGACGCTGCGTTCGGCAGTTGGCGCACAAACAACAATAAAACAATCTCAGCACATTCGTAGAGTCACTCTACCTCTTCTCCAGGCTCGAGATGTGCTGTGAAGAGGGGCTATTGCTCGAAACGTCGCCTGTTATATACAGTACTACATTCTAAGGCCACACAGTGTCATGAATAAACGTGAGTTTTCATCATTGTTAAAAATACGTGTGTATTTGCACGTGTATATATTTGTGTGCATTTCAGTTTCTCCGTTTGTAAATGATAGTGTAACTCACCACAGAGTAGCTATGCCAGTGTGTTTATATTTACTACCCAGACCCAACATGTCACATCACCCTATCTACTGTGTACAGCTCAGATAAAGTACACGTGTGTGTGTTGCTGTTACATACCCTCACCATGTACTATAGCTAAGTTATAGACAGTGCATAGTGTGTTGTATAGTGTGACGTGTAATGTTGTTACATACCCTCACCATGTACTATAGCTAAGTTATAGACAGTGCATAGTGTGCTGTATAGTGTGATGTGTAATGTTGTTACCTGTCAACCCATACGGATTTACCCGTATTCTTGTACAAGGAAATTATGTAAAAACATTTTGTTTGTCTGTTTGTTTCTCCCTTGTGATGGGACTTTGTAGGATGAACGCTGGGATTTATAAGGGACACGGGGTGACCAATCACGTCTGGTCGGTCCGTAATAAAGTAGGGCACTGATAAGGGGTTGACGGCTCTGCATACCCACACCATGTGCTAGATCTGAGCTGTAAACAGTCAACGGCGAGGTTAATGTGAGAAAATGATGAGAAGTAAACTCCTCGGTTCTTTCGCTAAAGTCACGTAGATATTTTTTTTACCGAAACAACCAAAGAGTATGGATTCCTGCAGTCATAAAAGCTTCAAATCAAGCACGATGAGAAGCGTCTGTCGTCAAAGTAAAACGTCACATCGGTGATGAATCGCGCGTAGTGAATTGAAAGAGACATTGATGAGGCGTCAACCATTAATGTTGTATAACAACAACAACAGCAGCAGCTGCTGGGCGTCAACGAGCTGCACCACTCACACGCCGTTCGCCACAACGCGCTACAGACGCAGTCCATGGCGACACGGAGCCAAGGCGAATTCGCCGCTGCACTCCGACAACAAAAAAAGCGGTGGATAAAGCAAAGCACTTTCTGGCAATCAGCCGAATGTTAACAAGACGCAGGGAACTACTAACTTTTATATTAATATATACTGTAGATGTCCATAATGCAGGTTATTTGGGTTAGATGGTTCACCCCCAATAAAACTGTATAACGGATATTGGTCGCGAAAGTTTTACGTGTTAAACTACTGTGGATGTCATCTTCTTGGTTCTTTCGGTAAAGTCACAGAGAATGGAAATAATAAAAATAAAACATAATAAAATAATTCTCACGACGTTTCGGCCACAACGCAAGCAGCCGTCCCCAGGTGAAGAACAGGTCTGTCAAGACGACAGAGTCTGAATGACACACCCCAGGCTTGGAGCGTATATTTAAGCTGGGAGGGAGGAGGAAGAGTGCCTTGACAAAAGAATTTGCATATCAAGAGGAATTTTAGCATATTTATGGGAAATGCAGATATGCGATTAGTACTACTTGTGAAATGCGTAGGAGGTTTGGCGAGGGGTTTAAAGTTATGTTTGCCCGTGCATTAAGCAGGATTAGCAGCATCAAAGGTAGGGGATAGCAGGAAGCATTAATAAATGAAAGGAATGTTAATAGTCTGTAGCTGCAGTCACTAAACCACCACGTAAACAATTAAAGTATAAACTACATAGTATCATCAGTATACTAAATATACTCTCCAATAAGTTGAGTTACTAACAGTAAGTAATATATTACAATTCTATGTCGCAAAAAATATTATATTCTTCCAGCTAAACTTTATTCTCTTACATCAAACGGGTCTACAACGTACTATATACTGCCATAGACAAACCCAACATTAAATTATATACTGTATTGCTATACACCACTCTATACCTTATACATTGTAATATTACGCTATGTATTATTCTACCCACCCTACTGTATATCACACTGCTCTATATTCACTATACAATTATGATACTATATATTACTTTGTACATTGTATTAAACATTACAATTTTATACTATTTATTATTATACAATCCGCTATACACTATACCATTGACCGTCGCGTGAAAGATACTAAGAGGAAGCAACGAAATATGTCAATGGGAGAGTGGTGGTAGGAGACTTGCAGCGGAGCAAATAATCTATTCCCTGCGGAGAATACAAGATATATAGTCAATGCCAATGAGTGGACTGCGGTCTGAAAGTCACCGTAAACACACTCAGTTAAGATCCGAAATGGTTGATTGTGTCCTTCCAATGATTGCTGAGCCAGAATCCATCTTCTCGGTTGAAATTGTCTCTGTGTTTGTATATGTGGATCGCCTCATGAACGAAACTCTCATGGTAGCCAGATGGCTTGCAGAGAACATCTGTCTTGGAGAAGTCAATATCATTTGAGCCCACTGAATTGTAACAGTGATCTGCCACGGCTGAGGTGTTTGTCCTACCGTGTTTCAATTCTGCTTTATGTTCACGGATGCGGTCCAAGACATGTCGTTTGGTTTCTCCAATGTAACTGCTACCACAGAGGCAACTTAGTTTGTAGACGCCAGGGTACTGTATGTCTGGAACCACATCTTTTACAGATGGGATCAGATCACGGATTTTATGTACTGTGTTGAATCGGACCTGGATCTTGTGTTTTATCAGGATTTTGGAGATCTTTTTGTGACCCCAGCAATGTAGGGTAAGGTGATGGTTTTGAAAGGCTCCTCAACAGGATCCTTCTTGACGGTTGGAGTGATGGCTTTGCGGATTGTGTAGTCGGAATAACCATTAGCCTTAAGAGCTTGGCGTACATGTTTGAGTTCACTGGCAATGTGTTCCTGGTCGGATATGCATTGGGCTCTATGGTATAGAGTCTTGATGAGGAAATTCTTCTGGGATGGATGGTTGTGGGAATCCGGTTTTAGATAAGCATCCGTATGGGTGGCTTTCCTGTAGACAGAATGGCTCATTGAACCATCAGATCTCCTTTTAATTAGGACATCCAAAAAGGGTAGCTTGCCATCTTTTTCGACTTCCATGGTGAATCTGATGGCTGGGTGTATGGAATTGATGTGGTCGAGGATGTGTTATGGTGATGTGTTAACTTTCCTTGTACTTGCGCTACTATCATGTTTGTGTACTGTTTGTTATTGTAATGTTCTTACCCCGTGCTCCTACTGGACATCTGTTAAAAAAGTTTTACAGGTCATCTGATTCCTCCTGCAGTATAAATATTCCGATTCTGATGTACGTCAGTCCATAGATGCCAAATTAATATCTGTGATAGTAACAAATCGCGTTACTGGTATTGCTCACCGTAGCTGCTGGGCTGTTCGGAATGTACCACTCACTCAGCGGGTGGGGGAAGATAGCAACAATATCGCATTGACTTTAACTTTAAAATATAACAAACACAAACAAAGCAAGATACAAAATCACTGAAACTGTTATTGTACAATGATGAACAAATTCGAATTTGAATCGACAGAATATGGTAAAGTTTTCGTCATAAAATTGTGAAATAATGGAATAGAATCACCCCTGTGGTTGGTAATGGTTTCTCTCTCCGTGGGTCATCGCGGACAAATTATTTCCGTGTTCGTCTCCGCTGAGCTGCTCACACAGCGTCTCCTGAACAGTACACACCTCGTCAATGGTAATCAACATCTCACGATATTATAAACATAAAGGATTTTTGTTCGAATATATTCTATGAGCCACAGTGAGAAACTGTTCTGGGTGCATCCTCGGGTCATGGCGAGCGCAGCTCCCGCTGAGAACGTGGACCGTGACTTGACCTGTTCCATCTGCCTGGACATGTTTGACTGCTCTCCACGTTGAGCTGCGGCCACTCGTTCTGCCTCCAGTGCCTGGAGGACGCCTGGAAGGAGATAGACTCCTACTGCTGCCCGAAGTGCCGCAAGACCTTCCCTCGACGACCCCAGCTGACCAGGAACGTGACAATCGGCAACCTCATAGAGCAGCTGCGAGTGACTGAGACAATGGCTGCTGCTGGTGTTGTTTTCTGTGACAACTGCCCAAAAGGCAAGACGCTTGCAGTGAAGACCTGCCTCAGGTTTGAGACGTCCTTCTGCAGGGAACACCTCATGCCTCACCTGAAAAATACGAAGTTTAAAGATAACGTCCTGGTTTAATCAGATGTGAACCCTGAAGAACGCAAGTGCAAGAGGCAAAACGAGGAGCTCAAGTTCTACTGCAAGCAAGACCTGAGCCTCGTGTGCAGGGACTGCACCATCGCAGGAGACCACACGGGTCATAAGTTTATCACACTGGAGGATGAGCATCAGACACGGAAGGTGAGGCCCGCGTGGGTTGAGTTGGAGTCACTCCACCCTTCTCAGCAAGATGGCGGCAGCGTGATGGCAGCGTGTGAATGGCTCTGCATGAGTGTGAATGAGTGTGAACTGTGTGTGAGAATGTGAGTGTGTGTGAGAGTGGAGACGTGTGTGAGGGTGGGCCGTGTGTGAGAGGGAGACGTGATTTTTTTTTTAGATCGTTGTTGTTGTTGAGATCGCTGTTGTCCTGTGTGTGGTGGGGAGCGCGCGTGGTGCGCGCGTGTGTGTGTGTCACCCAGCGTTGTCCACGGCGTCGGTGATGGGTGTGTGTATGTGTGGTGAGCGTGTGTGCGTGTGGTGAGCGTGTGTGCGTGTGGTGAGCGTGTGGTGAGCGTGTGGTGAGCGTGTGGTGAGCGTGTGGTGAGCGTGTGGTGAGCGTGTGGTGAGCGTGTGTGTGTGCGTGTGGTGAGTGTGTTTGCACACACGCGGCTCAGGGGCCCCGGGCTGAGCGCGGGGACCACCACCACAACCACGGCCACCACCACAACCACGGCCACCACCGCAGCAGCACTAACCACAACCACCCACACCACCACAACAACAACAACGACCGCAGCCACCAACACCAACAACATCCGCCCACACCCCGTCGGGGCCTGCGTCGGGGCCTGCTCGAGGTGGCCTACTTCGAGGAGGCCTACTTCGAGGAGGGCGCTCGTCAAACAGGCGAGAAACCGTACATGTACGACGAGTGCGGCAAGACATTACTCGCGCTCGGCCTACCTGTACGTTTTCACGTGTGTGTTTAACTGTTGTGGTTTTTTGTTATTTTAAAGATGGCAGTTCTGCTGTGTATTCTACTGCTATCCCTCACGGCCATATCTAGTGCCAAACACAACTCCATCACTGGCAGCCCTCGTTATTTCGAGTCCATAGTTCAAGCTCCATTTGCCACTACACCTGCTAGTGAAACAGCTTATAGCCACTTCTACACTCCATCATTGTATTTTTTAAGCCCTATTTCTGTCCTATTACTTCACCAGCACTCCTTCCTAACTTCATTATGCTCTTAAAAATGTCACCATACGCAAGCAGTTGCTATTCGTCCAAGGTTCGTCGCTCTTCATCCATTCACAGAAAATACTTGTGCAAACTATTAATGCTAATTTTCTTATTTCTGGGAGGTATTGAGCTTCATCCTGGCCCAAATGTAAAGAACTCATTTAATTTTGTAGATTTTTCTGGCAGAAAAGGTGTTGGTGTTCTACATGTCAACATCAGAGGGCTTGTGATTAAATTAAGTCAACTAAAACTAGAAGTGGCAAATCTGGACCCAGACATTTTTTTAGCTTTACAGAAACATTTCTCACTCCGGTCGTCATTGACTTGCAGATTACGATTGACAACTACAACCTTTTTCGACTTGACCGAGGGTCTAAAGGAGGTGGAATTGCCATATATGTTCGTAGTACTATTGCATGTTCACCAGCTCATTCCTTGTTAAAGAAACATTGCTTTGAAGGTCTAGCTCTCAGCATCACTCCCTAAAAATCAACAGATATTGGTAGTGTGCTGCTATAGACTGCCTAGTGGTAAGGATGTTGAAGCTGGGAATGCACTGAGGGAGCTTATTGGGGGCCTTCCTAAAGGTGAAATCATTTTAATGGGTGATCTCAATTGGAATTGGCTAAACCCGCCGGCTGTGGCCCCAAATTTTGCAGTTGAATTTAACCTATTTCAATTAATAAATGTCCCTACAAGACCCAACCTAAAAAACCCGGGACAGTCATCTCTGCTTGACGTCCTATTAACAAATGCCCCTCACAATTTCGTGCTGACAGGTGTCCTGGGTAATAACCTTAGCGATCACTCTTTCATATTTGGGGAGAGATCATCAGCCAGACAGAAAGCCCCCCCTAAATTGGTTGAGAAGCACTCCATGAGACACTTCAGCATTCAGGCATTTACTAATGATGTGCTTCACTCAGATATTGACAAGGTCTGTGATATGCCCAACCTGACTACGGCTTGGAGACCTTCAGGTACACGTTTTTCCAAATTCTTAACAAACATGCTCCGTTGGTTAAAATTAAAACTAAAGGCAACCGCCCACCATGGTTTGATCCCTTGATTACTAAGCTCATGAAAACTAGGGACAAGGCTTGGGCATGTGCTCAGAAAAGTAATTTGGTCAATAACTGGCTAGAATACAGGATTTTAAGGAATAGATGCGTCAAAATAAATACGGCATGCAAAAAATTACTACTTCTCTTCCACTCTCCTTGAATCTCATGGAAATGCCAGGATTTTCTGGAAAACAATGAAATGTATCGAAAAGGCATCTAACACAGATAATCTGCCCGTTGAGTTTAACCGAAATGGGGAATATTTTTCAGATCCCCAAAAAATAGTTGACAATTTTAACCTTAATTTTTCTGAAGATGGTACCCTATTTGATAATGTATTGGGAGTCACCCCTGCTCATGCAAATTCCTACACCCCTATCCAAACATTAAGCGAATTTAGTTTTCAGCCAATCCACGAAAGTAATGTTCTGAAACAACTGTCCTACCTCAAAGGGTCCTCCTCTACCGGAGCAGATAGTATTCCCGTCTTTGCTCTGCTAACTGTTGGTCACCTAATATACAAACCTATAGCCCATATTTTCAACCTGTCCATCAAAGAAGCATCAATACCTCTAGAATGGAAACATTCATACGTTCGTCCACTTCACAAAGGGGGCCCTAAAGATGATCCAGATAACTACCGACCTATCTCAATTTTGTCCCCGTTGATGAAAATTTTTGAAAAATTATTGAACTACCAACTTATCAGTTTCCTGTCCGACAACAATCTATTACATCAAAACCAATCTGGGTTCCGAAAAAAATACAGTACCACATCTGCTGCATTAGATTCTTTGAATCACATTTACAGTAGCCTTGATAATAAGCAGTACTGCGCCAGTTTTTTTCTTGACTTGTCCAAAGCCTTTGATACAGTCGACCACAACACCCTGCTTAGTAAACTAAGTTGCCTACGTTTCTCCAAACACGCAGTAGAATGGTTAAAAAATTACCACTCTTTTCGCACCCAAACTGTACTCACAGATGGTTGGAGGTCAAACAAATAACAAAAGGGGTTCCACGGTGTTCAATCCTCGGCCCCCTCTTGTTCTCTATGTCAATAAATTGGGCACTGACCTGGATCATTCCAGGGTAAATCTTTTTGCAGATGACACGATACTGATTACTGCTGGCCGCTCTCTGGATGACGTGATTGCTAAACTCCAGGGTGATTTCAACAAACTACAACATCAGCTAGTTGCTCTTAAACTAGTCCTGAATACCTCCAAAACCAAGGTGCTATGCTTCTCACCAGGACTAAAGCAGGAAGTTATTTTTCCCCAATTACATTCCTTAAATAATTATCAAATAGATCAAGTCAAGATCTATAAGTATCTTGGGGTCATTCTTGATTCAAAACTGAAATTTGAAGATCACATTGATTATATTGGTAAAAATAAAAAAATAAAAATTGGTTTTCTGTATCGACACAAGCACTGCTTTCCCCCTATGTTCCGTTTGGAATTGATAAAAGCTACCATACTGCCTCTACTTGATTACTGTGACATCGTGTATAAATCAGCCCCAAGTACTGTACTGAAGAAGCTTGACTCAATGTATCACTCGGCCTTATGATTTGCATTGAACTGCCCATATAGGACTCACCACTGTGATCTCTACATTGGGTCAAACTTAACATCTCCCAATGTTCGACGGCTTGTGCATCAGATCTTATTTATTCATGATGTACTTACAAAAGAATCCGCAGATTACCTGCTGGATCTCCTCTCTGTTTCAAAGAACAAATTTGACCTAAGGTCTTCACTCATTTACCAGCTTCACATTCCCTATTGTCGTACAAATACTGGAGGAAGGGCCTTTGCTATTGATGCCCCCAGGGTCTGGAATGCTATTGCCAATAAACTGCAACTTGAATCGCTTTCTATGAGATCTTCACTTAAAACTGCTCTAGAGGAGTTGTACACCCCTAGCTTCCACCGCAATTTAGTAGCCTAAAATACAATGTTTCGCTCCGGATGATCGCCGCAAAGTATGATCTGTGTTTTAGTGTGCTGATCTTAAAGGTGCATTGAAAAATGTTGATACCCCGACTGATGCTCCTACTGTTGTGGAGTGACTCATGCAGCCAGCTATGGCTGCAGAATTTGGTAGTACATGTTGTTTACGTCGTTTATTGTGAAAATTCGGTCACAGTTCCTATGACCACTGTTTCATTGCTTTTATGGCTTTATTTTGGTGATTTTCGAAAAGTTTTTTGGTTTGGCCATGTTTGTTTGCTGTAGTACAGAGTTAGACTGATGGCCTTAATCTAAGTTGTCTTGTGGTTGTTGTTGTTTGACTTGCATCCCACTGGGATTTTTGCACACAGTGTTGGTGTACGGTGCTTTTTCTGCAATATTTTGATGTCTTTTCTTGGATTTTCTGTTTGCACATAGTCACTATAAGATGTATTCTTGTTCATGTTTTTGTTTTTTGTTTGTTGCGGTTGCACCCGATTCAAGAGCCGAATGGCTCACAGGGCTATACCTAATAAATGAACTTGATCTTGAACCGCTTTCTTTGTTGTCGGAGTGCAGCGACGAATTTGCCTTGGCTCCGTGTCGCCATGGACTGCGTCTGTAGCGCGTTGTGGCGAACTACGTGCGAGTGGTGCAGCTCGTTGACGCACAGCAGCTGCTGCTGTTGTTGTTGTACAACATTAATGGTTGATGCCTCATCAATGTCTCTTTCAATTCACTACGCGCGATTTTATCACCGATGTGACTTTTTACTTTGACGACAGACACTTCTCATCGTTCTTGATTTGAAGCTTTCGTGACTGCAGGAATCCATTCTCTTTGGTTGTTTCGGTAAAACATATCTACGTGACTTTACCGAAAGAACCAAGGAGTTTACATCTCATCATTTTCTCACAAAAACCTCGCCGTTGACTGTTTACAGCTCAGATCTAGCACATGGTATGGGTATGCAGAGCTGTCAACTCCTTATCAGTGCCCTACTTTATTACGGACCAATCCAGACGTGATTGGTCACCCCGTGTCCCTTATAAATCTCAGCGTTCATCCTACAAAGTCCCATCACAAGGGAGAAACACAAACAAATAGACAAACAACATGTTTTACTCAATTTCCCTGTACAAGAATACGGGTAAACCCGTATGGGTTGACAGGTTTGTGTATGTAACAACATTACACATCACACTATACAGCACACTATGTACTGCATATAACTCAGCTATAGTACATGGTGAGGATATGTAACAAAATTACACATCACACTATACAGCACACTATGCACTGTATGTAACTCAGCTATAGTACATGGTGAGGGTATGTGACAACATTACACACACGTGTACTTTATCTGAGCTGTACACAGTAGATAGGGTGATGTGTCATGTTATAGACAACCTCATCGCTTGGGGTCTGGGTAGTAAATATAAACACTCGCATAGCTACTCAGTGGTGTGAGTTACACTGTTATAGACACGTAGAAACTGAAATGCACAAACATATATACGTGCAAATACACACGATGGAAACTCACTCTAGATTCGTTGCTTTCGTGACTGCAGGAATCCATACGCTTTGGTTCTTTGGGTAAAGTCACGTAGGTATAAAATAAAAATAAATCACGTTTCGATTGCAACACAAGCAATGATCATGTGGGAAAACCACAGCAATAATTATTTTTTATCCCACTTAAAGCAAAAAAATAATTATTGCTGTGGTTTTCCCACCTGATGATGATTGCTTGTGTTGCAATCGAAATGTCGTGATTTATTTTTTATTTTATACGTACGTGACTGTACCGAAAAAATAAAGGATGATGGAAACTCACGTTTATTCATGACACTGTATGGCCTTCGAAGGTAGTACTGTATACAAAACAGGAGACGTTCGAGCAACGGTCCCTGTTCACAGCACATCGCGAGCCCAGAGAAGATGTAGAGCGACTCTACGGATGTGCTGAGATTGTTTTGTTGCCAAACGCAGCGTCTCCAAAACATTTCGGTGATTTGAGAACCGGCTCGCCATGCTACGGCGCTACAGAAGCTGGCGTTGTTATTTATTTATTAATTCGCTGTTGATCCACTAAACTCTGCCACGTGCACACAGAGAGAAACGCGTGCGTAGGAACCAATTCCAAACCCTTACAGTCACTCAAGCAACGATCATCAGAGTCAAACCAAAACACGCACGCACTCATTCAGAATCGCCCTCCTGCTTTATCTCTCAATTATGTCCTATTAATAGGTCCGTTGCCTGAAACGTCGTTTAATATATGTTACCTTTAAGGGCCATGCAGTGTTATTTGACGAACGCGTGGAGTTATTTTGTGACATCGAGAGAACGTCCCACGTGAACCGGCAGTGAGCACCGCGCATTCGTGCGTTTGACTGCCTTCTGATGCTCGTGGGTGCGATGCCTTGGCTCTGTTCTTGGCTCTGTATCAATGTGTTTCACGTTGTATGTTAACGTAAACCGTGGAAAGATGTAGATTTTAACGTTTTTATTTGGAGTGATTAGATGGTAACTCCCTCGCCTGGTCTGCAGGTCGTGGTTTCGATTCCGACCCCGATGCTTGCTGCATATTAGGAGTTTGCGTGTCTCTCTTTCTGCCCATGATCGTTTTTTC